GTGGCAGAAATTTGGTTTGTAAATAGAACATCATGCATGAAGTGTAAGACAAGCATAGGAAAATTGTAGTCATATGGATTCTAACTCTTGCAATTTCCAGTAAACTTTACTTTTGCCTTAACATATTCTTCACCACCAGATGCACGTCTGAGAGACTTGGCTAAATATCTAGCTCTTCTGTATCACATGAGTGATTTATAATAAGAACTTGTTTAATTCTCTCAGCTCAGGCTCCAAGGATTCTTACGCCTCTCTCAACCTGTTGCCAACACTGGCCATTCCTAGGAGGCTGATTCCACATAAACAGACACATTCTTCTCAGAACTTATAGTTCTTGAAAAGGGAAAGGATGGGGCAGTGAAATTTTTGTAAGGGAGATGACTGCAAATGATTTGAGGAACAATAAGCTAACCTTGCTAGTCCCAGGACCTTGGCTCCCTGTTGTCAAGGGCTGGCACTGTTACCATCTTGCTGTTATATCACACTCTGTTCTCCAGTAAGATCACCTGTCCCAAGCTAGATCCACACCAAAGGTTTTCATCTCTTTCTGTAACAGTGTACTCCTTGGATGGGATTCTCGTATTTGGTTTGCTCTTTGTCTGCACCTGTGCCTACTTCAAGAAAGTACCTCGTCTCAAAACCTGGCTGCTATCAGAGAAGAAGGGAGTTTGGGGTGTGTTTTACAAAGGTAAGATATCTGTTCAGGGAGAGATTGTCATCTCTGGACAGCGAGGTGCTTCAGAATGGGGGTCAGGTAGGCTGGGATTGTACGTGGTTCCACTTTTACATAATTGTTCATTTGAGCTCCACGTTAGCATTCATATTCTCCACAGAGTAAACGTACATGAATGAAAGAATTTCAGGCTGGATTGGAATTGTTGGGAGGAATATTTTCCAACGAAAAGTTTTTTCTGAATTTTTGTAAAGAATATATTGGAGCTGCTTTTAAGTTTTGATTTTATTAACTAAAAAGCTTTTTTACTTTTTATTTTGGGCACCTTCATCTGGAATCCTACTTACCTAAATCTTTTTTCAAAATAGGACGAAATATAAACAAACAGTATATTCCCCCAAAACCTAGGGCCTAAGGGTAGTGTTTAAATACATTCCTGGGTGGGTTCTTGAGACCCTTGATGGGTCTCTTCCTCTCTGACTATAGATTTCAAAATATCACCTTGAAAGCCAGTACTTATATGAAGGGCAGGGTGTGATTTCTTTTCTCTTTATTTTTTCTCGCTAGCTGCTGTGATTGGAACCAGGCTGCATGCTGCTGTGGCAATCGCCTGTGTTGTAATGGCCTTTTACGTCCTGTTTATAAAATGAATCCTAAAGCATCCATTTCACCAACTGCCAACCAGGGGGATGAGGGTGAAGAACCTGTCGGGGCCTGGGCCCAGCGTAGGGGAGCTCAGCTAAAATCATCAAAGTCCCCAGGATGACACCACAGCATCTGTCCCTACCATATGTGGGGAAAATTCCTCATGGTTACAAACATTATGCTTCAGGGGACTCCAAAAAGCCAACTTCCTTTGACCTGTGTGTAAATCAGCCCTCAGCAGAGAGCATCTAACGTCCAGATAAATTACACCCCTCAGTGATACGATTACTTGTCTCCTGCTTAAAAATCTGTCATCTATTTTGTTCTTCAGTCCCTCATCAGATCTTTTCAAACTGAGGCTCATTAGGGAAGGACATAGGCTGTGGTCAAACTTCTTGGAAGGAGAAAGAATTTTCAAGACTTGACTTTTTTTTAACAGTTTGATTTGGATTTGGGAAATTGCAGGGGGCTGGGGGGAGGGGCAGGGTGGGAAATAGGCGTTATACAATGCCAAGAAACTTTTTGGCTCTGAAAATTTGTCTTTCATATACCCATCTGGGGACATAAGAGAGACGCATGATCGTCACTGCAAAAAAGAGAACAGATGAAACAGCTATGGTTGTGTGCTGGTAGCTCAGGAGTTTTGCCAAGAGAATCTGGGCCTGCATAAAATTTGGAAATTATCTTTCTGTGATGAGACCAGAAAGGAGTAAGGTAGACAAGAAACATTGTTCTGTTCACCAGTATTCCCTAAAGGAAACTTCACTCCATCAAATGGTATATGGAAACTGTTGCTACTCCTAAAACTTTTAAAATACTTTCTAAATTACTGAGTGCTCAATACTGTTACTGTTTTAAATGCCACCACTAGGGGAAAGAGAAACTATTGAAGAAATAATTGTTTAATATATTTGCTGTTAGGGTAGAAAAAAATAAACAAATCTAGTATATTAATTTGTATACTAGTAAAGTCATCTAGAATTTATTGTGATGTTAGATGGAAGTTTTGTCATGTTTTTCAAGATACAAACTTATTCTTTGTTTAAATCTGGGTTATTATGGGAATTTTTAGTTGTGTTTCTTGGCCCACTCTTAATTTTTTCTTAATGTTGCAGTATTCTATAGCTGTTTCTTGGAAATTATAAGAACATGAGAAATTAGAATGAGTGAGAGAAGTTGCTGACATGCATAGACATGTTTGGACAGTTCATAGAATCCATGAATGAAATGAGGGTTCTTCTAAAGTAGTGGAAAACAGAGGTTTGCAATTGAGGTTGTTGGACTTTTCCATGGAGTATGGTAACTCCTGAGCAAATAATTTTAGATGATTCAACATTTGAAGGGAAGACTTATCCATTTCCTCCTCCTCATATCTGCAGAAGGATTAACTGTTGCATTTATGAAGTATAGAATTTCTCTATTTAAAAAAAAAAGAGTTGGTCTAAAATTAAATTATTGTAAAAAGCAAGCATAGACAGAGGTCTACCAGTTGAATTGCTCACTAAAGTAAAATTTGACTGTGGAAAAGTTAGCTGTGGTTGACCCCTTTGTGGTAGTAAATTGGCTTTTGTTTTATTCCAAAAGAACAAAAGCTGCTAGGAAGTTTAGTTTCTGAAATACGCAATTTAGTGCTTTGAGGGTTCCTAGAAGTATAGAAAGTCATCAAATAAACACTACATGTCTGATCAGCTGGGAGTTGTGGCTGTTATCGCTACAGGAATTGGTCCACAAGGTAAATGTCAATGATTCATATGTTGTGCGTTGTCATTTCTGAGGATCTTTCACACGAGAGAAAGGAAAGCTAGTGGAACAGAAGGAAGAGTTACACCTTGTAGGTGTGAGTTTGGAACCTGTTGGCCAGTGGGGATGTCACTCCCTGGAAATACAGGTTCAGCATGTTTTGCACTTGTTATTTTGTAGCTTTAATGACTTTTGTTTTCTAATAGGGCTACTATCTCTAAGCTTGGTGCTTAGAGCTGTTTCATATTTTAAACTCGTCCCATTGCACAGTTCTAGTTTGTTCAAGTCAATTTTTACAGCCTCCTGGGTGGGTCAGCTTGACCTAAACTCTTGAACTGTTATATTTGAGATGTTTTCTTGCCAGAATGTACCAAAAAGTACACAAAGTGAAGGTAATTTACAGCAAGAAACAAATACACAGCTTACTTCATGTCGACTTTATGTGAGCAGATAAGCAGAAACCTATTTAACTCATTACTTTGATTGATGTGTTGTATATTTTTGACTGAAAATTGTAGGAAGTTGTTCCTCTAAGAGAGTCTTTTAGGTGTGGAAGAATGGGGATAGCAATATTGCCTCAGATTCAAACTGGCATCACCATAAACCCTTATACTGGGGTGGAATGAATTCAGCTTTTTATAGTTGAAATAAAAATTTTTTATTCACCATTGTCTGCACAAATCCTTGAAAATAAAATTTCTTTCCCTACCATTTTTATTCATTTAGTTTGTCAAATACATGCTGAATTATTGAACTTTGTTCAATACTCCCTGGGTTCTGTCCATAGTACACCTTTGTAGTTTACGTTACTGAATACTGTCAGTCCTATTAACTCCTTGTGATGGCCACTGAATGTATGATACAGTTCAGAATCTATGAAGGTACAGCTTTTCCTTTTGAGGGAACTGGTATATATAAGCATATATATATGAATACATTTTGAGGTGTATGAAATAATGTAGGTAACACTCCCTGACACATTTTACTTACTACTGCTACTAAAATACAAGTATCATCTGCCATTGCCAGCCATGATTTTCTTCCTTCAGATAAGATGATCAGTTAGCTAACCACACACCTAGAAAATCCTTGAGCCAATGGGACTGTGGCACATACAATGGATACTCTCCCCTATTTGTTTATTCTAAGTGCATGGTGGGACTAGCACAAGTACAAATGATAACCTCATAATGATAATTTCACAAAGTTATTCTGGTTTATCTTCCTCCTTCACATAGTGTTTAATTGAAAAAGGAGAAAGAAGGAACTGAATCATTAAAATTGTGCTGTCTGATATGAAAGGAGCTAACTCTATTTATAAAATCATTCCTCCCCCCTCCCCGCTGCCCCCCCCCAACTTGTCCTGGAGTTTGAGATATGTTTTAATGGATATGAAAGTAAATGACGATTCAGCAATATGACCACCATAGCAAGTTCTGGGTAGTAAGAGCTCTGTGAGGACAGGGATATGCCTTCCTGCATTTACTCTTTTCACAGATATTGTGACTACCTAGTCCTTGCATTTAAGTGATCTATTCTCACCTTTCCCTTTGGTGAACGTTTGCCTTCTCCCAAGCGAGAAGGAGCTCCTGGGGGAGCTGACGTTGTGATCAGGATTTGCCTTCTCCCTGGGGAAGGAATTACTTACCTGTAAATATCTTGAGATTGAATCATCTTATATCCAGAACTTCATCAAAGGTCAAAGAAAAACTATAGATATGGATATAAATGTGCAGCTCCACAAAGATCAAATGACAATCACGGGTCAGTATCGTCGGAATTTGCCCCGCCTTTACCGGGGCCTTGGGTTCCCCTCCGAGCCACGCGAGGGCAGCAGAGCGCACACCCGGCGAGGGCCTGTGCTCGGTGTTTCCTCCCAGAAGCCTCCGGGGCAGGGGAGGGGCGGGCGGAAGGGTTTAAAGGAGAGTGAGGCCTTCCGCTCCTCTGCCGGAGGGAGCGTGGCCTCGGGTGAGGTTCGTGTGTATTGTATCGGGAAGTATCGTGTGTATTGTATCGCCTTCGTGGAAGGCGCGTGCGGGTCGAGTGTGTGAGTGGACGTGTGAATGTGTGAATGCGCGCATGGTGCGTGCAAGGCGAATGCGTGCGTCACCCCCGCGCCCCTCCCCCGGCCTACACCTTGATCTTATTTGATCGGGTCGTGACTCCAGCCCCGCCGGGCCGACCCGAAATGAAAAGCTCCCCTCCTGCGAAGCCCTTTCCTTGGGGCGCTGTGCAGCGAGGCCCCTTGGGCGGTGGCAACGCCGCGGTCCCCGAGGTCCCGGAGCCGGCCCAACGGGGCCCGGCGCTCAGAAGTGATGAATTGATCAGATAGACGAGGCCGGGCTTGTCCCGGGCCACTGATTATCGAGGCGATTCTGATCTGAGCCCGGCCCAGGGCCGCCGGTGGCGTTGGGGCTAACGTGTCCACGGTCGGCGCCTGCCCCGGGGTGCTGGCGGGCGATTGAATAAGCCGTTGCCCCGCTCGAGGGAGCGGGAGCGGAAAGGGGACAGAGGCCTTGTTCCCCGTCGCAGTTTTTCTTCCGTAGCCTCCTCCCTTTTTTCGTCCAGGCCCGCCTTGTCATGATGACTCTGTATGGTACCAACACTGGTGCCCCTGGTCTAAGGCCTGTCGCGAAGGGATATAGGTGTACACACATGGCTATATATGTGTGTATATATCCATAAGAGAACTAGGAAGGACATCTTTTAAGAATTCAGATTCCAGGGATCCACACCATACTTACTTAATTTGAATTATCAGTGAGATCTAGGAATCTTTATTTTTAGAAGTCTCCATGCATAGATTGCAATGATAAATTTTTTGATGTTCAGTATCAAATAATCCGCATGAGGTGGTTCTTAAGAGTCATCACTCTCTGCCACTTTCAGCCATTCTAAATAATGAGAACTGAAACTTAATATTGCACTCAGCAGCAAACACTATGTGAATACACTGGAGTATCTCCGTGGGAGAGCGGCTGTGATAGCTCGGTGGTATTTAAGGACCTGCACCTGAGTACAAGGAAGAAACACTTTCATACCTGAATTATTCAACAATGCGTATACTGTCCAAACTTAGAAATGGGAATTTACAATACAGTAGTCCAAAAGATCTGCCATTTATCACTCATTCTAACAGCAGGTTCCTGTGAGTGACTTAATAATTTTAGAAACTACATTAATGCATCAGTTTTTAGGTACTTTCAGACCCTAGCACCAGATTGCTGAGCCCTGTTTCTAAGAATCGGGCTGTATATCAGCACCAATCAAGGCAAAGAAAAGAGAATTAACTCCCAGGCAAGGAGGCAGTAGCAGAATTAAGAGAATGAACAATGATGAGAAGCCAGGACCAGGGAGACAAGAGTCCTCATGGAAAACTAAAGCCTAACAGACGACTAAGTCTGGGAAGTCTGAAATCTCGTAAGTGTGACCTCAGCATAAATATTAATGCTACAAAGAGCCACTGAAACAACAGTGTTAAGCTCACTGAGAGAATGGACCATGTCCATTCTTGTTTCCCCAACACTTAGCTCAGTGTCTGAGACAGAAAGTTTTGCAAGAAATGTTGAATGGATGTATATCTGTATGGTTGGAATGACTCCAGTTTACAAAATGTGAATACCTTTCTCTGCCCAAAACAGTGATGTTCTGTCCTAAATCCATATCTTTTCAGCAAGATGACTTTCCAAGTTGCAAATATGCCCAAAGGACTAGTTTCTAAAAGTTGAGACAACTTCCATATTTTAAGAGTAGCCAAGTAGCAGTCCATGGGTAACAGACACTCCAGGCTTCATCTTACACAAGTCTATTTAATGGAGGTGGGTGGCAAGATGTTCCACTATGGTTTGTGAGTCCAGGGGCCTGTCAACACTTAGGTGGAGAAGAAGCCACCATCATTCTTTCGGGAATAGCCTCCATTGGTGGCTGCGGTGTGAGGGGACACTAGAAAAGAGAAGAGGGAGCAGGCTGTGAGTTTCAGATCCTTTGCCTTTTCTGGGAACCTGTTGTCATCCACATATTTCTGGGTGCTGCTATGGAGAAGGTTCTGGTTTATAGAGGACTGGCAGCAGAGTTACAGGTCTTCCACTTCCAGGTTTCCGCCCTTTGCTGAAAATTTTTGTTCCCTAGACCTAAAGCTGAGGTAGAGGCTCTGAAAAACTGAATTCATTTCCCAGCTTTATAGGCAGCATGTCCCCTGGTAATAGTCTGATATGTGTCAACTGAATCACTGCTGTCCCAAGACTCAGTTATCCCTGGTGTTCCCTAATAGCCAACACCTCAACTCCCTGATTCCTCGGTCCATTTAGAAAAACTTTTGCACCGTCGTCTGCCCCCTGCCCCTCAAGTCTTCTAACCCTTACCTATGGATCCCTGGATGCTATGGATAGACTCCTTCTTAGGGTTGATCCAGTGTCTGATGTTAGCTCGGGAAGTGATGTGGGGTAGTTGGGGAGGGGGTAAAAGTTCTCCAGGGAATTGGATCTTGATTCTAGAAGATGGTGTGGAGAAGAACAGGGGAGAGTGAAATCAATCACGAGAAGAAAGGTAAGGAGGAAAAGACAGTTGCATGCATTCTCAAAAATAAAGCAGCCAAAGGCCCTTTTAACCCTCTGTGACATTAACCAAAGATTTTGCTTATACAGATGGGCACAATCTTGGAGGATCTCTGTTCATTTTAGAAAGTTAAAAAAAAAAAGAAATTGTTTTACAGATACAGAAGTAAAACATACAGAAATCTATACAAACAAGTACCTATTGATTGTTATTCCCGAGGTGTAACTTACATGACTGGATGGCATTGTCCTTGGGGGAGAGAGGCTCCACCTCCACCACTTACCCATGGGTATCCTGGATGGTCTCCTGGTGTACCAGTATCTCACTTTTGTTCTTGAATGTCCCCGTGTGGTGGTTGTACAAGGCTGATAAGCGGAAATCCAGATCATCCTTGGGTATCTACAGAGGAAGCCAACCCCACCAGGGTTAAATTGCCACCCCTGCACCCGCTCCAGTTGGGTTCTGTTGGGCTCTACTCCCCCCAAAGCAGAGCAAACCTTTTGGGCCTGAGAGCCACCAACTCCTTACACACCAAATCACTGTGCACGATGACTTCTTAACTCTTGTCCATACAGAACTGTCTCATGGTTAGGTCTAAGGCGTCAGGGGCTCTCCTGGAGACTTGAGGATCACTGTACTGCCCTTGACTTGGGCTTAATGGGCCTTGCCTCACTCATGGTTATAATGAGAACAGTGAGAAGGCGGGTGACGGAATGATTTACTCCAAGTAATCAACTGGAGCAAAACCCAAGCCTTCTGACTTTGCAGAGGCCAGAGAAGTTGGTATTTGGCTTTAGATTTGATAGGATCTTGGACTGGGGACAAGATAAAGTTGCTAAAGCAGTTAGGGACAGACTCCCTTTCAAAAAGAATATTGATTTGTCTTAAGTGGATGTAAAGAGAAACAGCATTTCAATTTGGGTTACCTCAGGATCAAAAAAATAAGCATCCCGCCTCATGGAGGTTATTGTAGGTGTTGAGTTGAGCCGACGCCAGGGGTCCTGCTGTTGAGCAAGGTGAGTTGGGTTCTTATATGGCAGTTTCTGTAAAAGAGAAACAACACCCAGGACAGGTTACAGGAGGCCTTGCTGATATGGTAGCTTCAGTGACATCCATCCCCTTGTTCTATCCTATTTTAACTGAATCTCAGACACCTACAAAGAGAAGAACGACATGGGGCAAGACTCCCAGGCTTTTGATCCTCCTAAGTGTTCAGTCTTAGAACTGACAGGAATGGGCCAGGAATACAGGAAAAGGGGTGAAGAGGTACAAGGGGTGAAGAGTCAGGAGCAGAAAGGCAAGATAATGAGCTCAGATTTAGAAGTCCTGACTGAAGAAGAGGTGAGACGTCCTGATGCAATTAACAGGTAGGAAACTGGAAGTGTCAGCTGTTGGAGGAGAACTCAGAACAAGTAATAGATCTGGGGTTGTGCACATGAAGGAGTGGTGGAAGCCTGCAGAAAGGAGTCTGACTGAAAAGGAAGGGGTGCTTCATGTGGACTGCACAATATTATAACTGGGGTGGGGGTGAAGGAAGGACACAAGAAGCAATCAGACAAGAGAATCAAGTGAGGACATTTTTTCTGTAAGCAAGGAAGGGTCATTGTGCCTTCAGGAATGTCAAAAACTTCATTGGACATTCAGTCCTCAATAAAACCCCACAAGTATGAATACAAAAAGTGCAAAACCGATTTCTTCATGACACGTACAACGCCGTATTGTTCACCACTGTATCCCAAGTACCCAGCACAGTGACCTAACGTTGTGTTCTAAAATGAAATACTGGTTGAATCAATGACTGAATTCCAGTCTACTACTATAATCTAGTAGAAATCTCATTCTACCTTCCAGTGCTGGTACCCTCTCTCTCCCTGTGTATGACAAAGTGCTGCATGACTCAGCTCAACAAGGCATTAATTGAAGAGTATGGACCAGGCACTATGCTATCACCAAAAAAGATTAAAATGAAATGAGAAAACTACAAATATATATGATGCAAGCCTAGGCAGCTCTCCTCCCATCCCTAGAAGGCTATGTCAGCCTCATCGTCTTTCTGAGCAGAAGAGGAAGATTGCCTTTCACTGAGGAAGTCAAGCCTGTCAAGCATGAGTGCCACCTTAACATCCTTTATCCTTCCATCTCAGAGAAAGGGAAGTCCCTTTTATTCAAGAATAATCCTTCTTCTCTGAACCCAACCCTTCCCAGGACCTGCACTATCCTGGCTTCCCCGTCCCCATCCTCTCCCTCATTCCTTTTTTTTATAGTGGTCTAGGTACCACTCTATGACCTTCCCTACTGAGCCATGCTTCTTTAAGAGTCAACACTTCCTACTTCCACTTCCTCCCCATTCATACCCACTCTTCAGCCCACTGCAGGCTGCCCTGTGCCTCAAGCACCCACTGAAACTGCTCCTGCTAGTGACCAATAATCTTTGTGGCTAGGTCAGGTGTATCCTTTCCAGAGCCGATCTTATTTGACCTCTGTGGTTTCTGGCACCATGACTCTGATTCCATGAAATGTTCTCTCCATCCTATGTGGGTCCAGCTCCTCCTGGTTTTCCTCCTGCCTCTGGTTGTTACTTCTCAGCTTCTTTCTCAGCTCTTCTTTCTCTCTCTGCCCCTTAGTGCTATTCTCCAGGGGTTTCGTTTCTGCTTTGCTGACTCACCTTCACTGGATGAGCTCATTCCCTCCTCAAGCTTCAACTACCTTATGAATATTGTGTCTTCAACCCACAACTCTCAACCATGTTGCCTACTATTCATCTCCATGTAAATGTCCTACAGACTCCACAAAAGCAACAGCTACATAATTGATCTCAACATCTTTCTCCCCAAATTTGTTTTCCCTTGATGCCTCATTCAGTAGATGGTATCAATTAAGCCCTCAGAAACCTAGAAGCTACCCTAGGCTCGTCCCCTCTCCTGGCCCATATCCAGTCAAAGTCCTGTCAGTCCTGCCTTTTGCATCTTATTGCGATCCCCTGTGTCACTGCTTTAGATTCCTTACTTCTCCTGGAGGTTGCTGCACAAGCCTCCTAGCTGACCCCTCTTGTCCCCACTAACCTCTTATCCAAGCCACTGCCACCTGTGCTTTTTACAACACCCATCAAGTACATGACTCCCGTACTTGAATGTCCCAAGATGATTCTCCAGTGCTTCCAGGATGGAAACCTAGTTCACTAGCATGGTGTACACAGCACACCCAGGCCAACAAGTTCACTTCTCCAGCTTCCGCCCTCGCCACTTCTCCATTTCACACCAACACTTCAGCCACTTTGGAGCCCTTGTCCCCAAGAGGCCACCCTCATTCTCCTCTCCAGGTATATGCACCTGCTGCTCCCTTTGCTGTGAATGTCCATTTCCTGCTTCCTCCCTCCTAACTCACATTCCACCTCCTCCCTCCCCTGGTCCAGCTAACTCACATTTGGTTGTCAAAACTCACCTGCTCTGGGAAGCTTTCCTTTAAGCTCCCATTTCCCATGACACTTACATATAACTGTCATGACACATGTGTTATTGTGCAAGCGCTTTTGCTGTTGCTGTTGTCAGCTGGCTTTTGTACTGGAGTTCCCTGAGAATAGGAGTTACATCTAATTTATCTGTACATCCTCAGTGTTTAGCAGATGTCTGGCATATGGTAAATAATAAATGTTGAATAAACAAAAGGGAGCTCTTTGATTTTGTTATTAATCTACAATTACCATCTAATTCACCTTATTTTGCATCACTTCAAACATTTCAACTACTTCTACCAGAAAAAAAGATCATCTAAGTTTCCGAATCACTGGCCATCATCTTTAAACACGTATATATACACAAACACATGCCAGCATGAATCAGAAGACAGAGACAGTGTGAAGACAGATGTATAAACCCTGCCCTGGTGGCTTTTAGAGGATTCTCTTCCGCTCCATATTTCATATCTCTTCAGAGAACAATTTTCCAAATAGGAGAGGGTGGCTTGGAGGAATTTGGGCCCTGTGTAAGTCCCATTATGCCAATCATTGCTTTGAGCTGTGAGTGCCCGGTGTTCCTCTGGACTAAAGCTCTACTTTCTTCTGCTCAAATGCACCTCTGAAACATTGGCAGACCTGAATGTGGGGACATGGGGGCAGGCAGAAAGCTGACTCAGTGTCCTCATCAGAGTCCTTTAAGTTACTGTCACGCCGACAGAAAGAAGGGTGCCGTCGACCCTGCTGGGAATCTACGCAAGAATCCTCAGTACCTTGGAAGCCAGCGGTTTTCCCAAGTAGGAGTCATCGTTATCCAACGTAGGGTGCTGGAAAGGGTCTCGCGTGACAGACATTGGTAAAATGCCGAGAGAGAGGCTCTTGAGAGGGATGAGAGGCCCGCGCAACCGCACACTACTTTGGATCCCGGGTCCCAATTGTTTGGAACGCCCAATTTCAGTTGCCAGGCAACTGCCCCACCGTCTATTACTGAGGTGAATTCCCTCCGAGAAGGGCGCCACCTGGCGGTCCAATGCAGGAGGCCCCCTCCGGAAGAAGCTACTGGAAACGCAGAGCGAAAGCGCCGCTGGGGAGCCCTGGATTTGCACTCGTGAGCCTGCGGTGAAAGACGCCGGCCTCCCATCTACAGGACTTCAGCAAAACACTTCAAGTGAGGAGAGAAGCCCTAAAATGTGGCCCCAAAATGTCCTCCTTCCTGGCATCTAACGAAAGGATTTCTCAGAACCATGAGAGAATGGGAATGTCAAGAGACAGCAGAGTCCAGCTGTTGTGCTTGGAAAATTGCCGGCTAAGGCAAACCCTCCTTGCCTAAACTCGGCGTCTACTACACAAGGCTTTGCATAGAGCTGGTTTGTAAAGACACAGATGGATTTGGCGGGATGGAGGTAAGATCTCCAGAAGCGGCTGTCGCAGTAGGTAACACCTACTGGGGCCAGTCTTCCAGAATATAGCCTCTGGAGGAGAGACGGCATCTCAGCCATGTTTCTATCAATGAAAGATGGGCATCGATCTGAAATTGGGCGTTCCAAACCACTGGGACCCGGGATCCTCCGCGTGCAAAGTTGTGTGCGGCTGCGCGGGCCTCTCATCCCTCCTAAGAGCCTCTCGCTCGGCATTTTACCATCGATATTAGTATTTATCGAACGCCACATCTGCAAAGTTAGAGGTGTGCATAAGTAGCCGATGACCCGAAAGAGCAGTGGAAAACACGAATTTGGTGGTAATGACTTGGAGGTTGTTTCCACCGCGTTCTTTACACGAGCCCCGTGCGCGCCTGTTGGGACGGTTGCAGACCCTGCGCGCGCGCCTTCCCACGCGGCGTGCGCCAGCGGCAGCGGCTGCCATGACGACAGGCAGGTGAGCGGCAGCCGAGCGCGTGGTCCCTGCCCCACCCGCGCGGAGGGAAAGAGGAGGCGGTTGCCAAGGCGACGTGGGTTGAAGGAGAAGAGGAAGGAGGGAGGAGGAAGGATGGGCGGCCTTGGCGTAGCCGCAGGGAGGTGACTGAAGCGAGCCCAGCCCCTTGCATCCTCCCCCTGTGAACCTCCCTCCCCTTTTTTTCCGCCTTCTGCCAGCAGTAGCTGCAGCCGCAGCACCTGAGCCGCTGCTGCCTCTCGCTCAGAGCAACACTATGGGTGAGCGTGGGCACAGCCTTCATCCCTCTGCCAGAGGCAGGGGGAGAACTGAGCGGCGCACACTCCGGCTTCTGCGGCTGCTGCTCTGGATTGGGACCGTCTTCCAGGTGACTCAAGGAGCGGGACCGGAGCTTCACGCCTGCAAAGAGGTACTGTCCTCCCCGACCCGACCCCACTTGGTCAGAAAAATCTCAGATCCCGGCGGAGACACTGGGGGCCCAGACACAGACAGTTTCAGAGGCCACGGAGTTTGGGTTTCTTTGGGAATGGGGGATGAGGGGGTGGAAGAGAAGCAGACTGGCATCATGGAGAGGCCAACCCACTGAAGGACTCACCAAATAGATCATCCTCACAGCTTGGGCTGCTGAGCTCAGGGGAAAGGTCCTAGCTCCGAGGAGGCCAGGAGGGACCCGAGTCCCTGGACTCGGGAATGAGAGAAGAAGACAGCTGGGATGGGTGGTTGAAAGCGAAAGGTTGTGTACAGAGGGGCAAAATAGAAAGTGGGAAAGGGGAGAAGTGGGGTAAGAAAGGAGTTTGAAAGGTGAAAAGAAAGTAATGGATTGAAGTAGGATTCCTTGTGATTTTATCATGGCTTCAAAGAAGGTGTGTGAAGGTGGAAGGTGTAGGAGAGGGACTGAAGGATCCCCTCGTCACTCTCCTCTCGGTATTAAACATCCAGTTACCTTGTGGGCTGCTAAATGTGGACCCTCTTTATAGTTTGCCTCCCCAAGTGTTCTTTGTTTAGTGTATCTGACAGTGCATGACCCACCTTTGACCAGAATTTGAGTTCTGTAATATCTCACTTTCTGCCAATTCCTATTTTCCTTCTCTGGACTTTTGTTGACATATATCGTAAGTCGTCTTCAAGGTGTTTCTGAAATGTTGCCAACATAATTCAGAGAATAGATAGTGAATGTCTTTGAACCAAAAATGCCTTTTGAACATTATTTTGGAGGGATACAAAAAAGGTATGAAAAAGTACAAAAAATAGTTTCTATAGTATTGAAATAATAATTGGTTGTGCTCTGAGTAACTTTTTTAAAAACATATGGCAGAGGCAGCAACATGTTTACAAGAACTGCATGGAGGAAGGCAAAATAAAAGTTGTTCTGTTATCTATGTGAAATGTGAAATACTTTATAATACATTGAGTCTAGCACTGTACAGTTAATCCAAAATGTCATACTTGGCTAACGTTTTGAGAGGCTGAAATATTTTTTATAAGTTGTCATTGTTAACTACTGATTAGCAACAACAACTCCATGCCATATGGAAATACAAGGGAATACATTATTGTGAAGGTATTCTAGGCATTAGACTGCCTACAATATAACAGATCATGAAGAAGTGAGAGGGTAGGGGAGAGGAGAGAATTTTTGTGTGAATAAAGATATTTGATTTCATTCATGTATATGAACAAGTGACCTCAGTCAGTGGGAATTTGGGCAACTTGTATCAGTCCCAGCGATGATCTGCCCTGAGCCATCCACATTTCGACTCAGCCACTCTACGACCTGTTTTAAAGATGGCTGGGAACTGATAATTTTGTCAGTGACTGTGGCTTACTGGCCTTGGTGGCCTGTGGTCTAACCAGTCGAGATAAACAGTTCCATCTAGCAAGCCCTCTTGCCTGAGAATCCAACATGGGAGTCTCCCGAGTGGAAGGTAAGAATCTTACAGTTCAACTACAACTGCTGGTTGAGATCTTTGTCCATTATGGAAAATATGAGATATTTAAGAAATTAAACACATTGTATCATCTTGCTTAGGAGGGGCAGAAGAAGACTGATACTTGAGAACTCTTATCTTGTGGACAAATTTGGCCTTTAGTCATTTTTAAATGACTGATCCTTGCCTAAGCAAAAGGCCTTGCCACAGAGCGTGAGCTAAGGACAGTGGAAAGCTGTGGGACTCAACATACCAGGGTTCAGGTCCCTGCCTATTACTTACCACTCAATTTTTGGATCTGTAGAATGGATACTTCAGTAACACCTAGCTCAAAAAAGGATTGAAAGAGAAAAATGAAACACAATGAGAGTCATCTAACCCCCTTTCCCATCCAGAGGAACTGGATGAAGTACTCTGCATGAGATCCACACCCCAAGCACGAGTGAAAGTGGCTTAGCAATCATGTTCCTTGGCCACAGAGGTCGGCAAGTCCTATTTGCACTCTCCTTGAGCAAACAGCGGCCGCTCAACACCCTTGACTCTAAAACAATAAGGAAGAGAATCAACCCGTTATTATAATATTCCTAGTTTGGCAATGTGAACTGACCCAACAAGTTTTGGGGGCTTCTCACCCTAAATGGTGAAAAACCAATTCAGGGTAGACTAGCCCTTCCCTGTTCTTAATCTTCATATGAATTTCTTGTGAGTCTTTGTTGGGTATTAATGGCACGGACTCTTATCAGGCCAAGGCTGACCCTAATGATAACAATGCTGTTCCTGCCTTGTTTTCTGAAATTGAAGGCATCCACCTGGATCCAATCAGGAAATGGAGAGGTTTAGGGGAAGGCCTGAATCCGGAAGGAGGGAGCTGAGAGTTCTAGATTGCTAAATGTGTGCTAGGGCTTGGTGTTCCTGTCACTGGTTTACAATAATCAGGGTCACCAGTGGAACTAAACATCAAGTGTGGTGTTTGTCTTCCTGAATCATTTCTTTTGCCCTGTGCTAGCCCTGGCTAAGTGCTGGCTGAGAGCCATGGAGCATTTCCGATATAGCACAATGAATCTAAATCAAGAGAGAGGGGCAGAAATCTGCCTTCCGCAGATCTGTCTTGTCCTGAGGCTCTGGTGCTAATTGCCCCCAAAGGGACTTCCCAGTCTGTATTGAAAGGCCCTTAGGGCTTAGGAATCTAGTAGACACAGATTGGAATAAAATGTGTTGAATGAGTGAAGAATCTGCCACTTAATAAGGATGCTACTTTGAGCAAGTTAATTAGCTTCTGCCAGCCTCAGATTCCTGATCTGTAAAATGGGGATGGTAACATCTATCTTACAAGGCTGTAGTGAGGATTAAATTAATTTAGATAACACATGTAAAGTGCCAGTGTGTACCCTTGACATGTCATAGGTGCTTCACAAATATTGGTAGGCAGAAAAAGTAAGTCCACAAATAATGACATATAAATGGTGGCATAAGGTTACTGTGTGGTAAATGATGCAGGAGTGGCAATATAGACGTTGACAGGAGAAAAAGAAAACACATTTGAACAGTTGGCACTTGACCTGCTTCTGGAATAATCAATAGAGTTTCAGTGGGCAGAGATGGAGGGAGAGAGCTTTCTGGATAGAGGCAGGAGCCCGAGGAAAAGTCCACAGGTGGAAAATACAAATGCTCCTGAGAATTGCAAGTAGCCCACGTGGCTGGAATGTGGAGTAAGTGTGGGGTACGACAGAAATCAAGGTTGGAAAGCTAGCAACTAAGTGGAGAATCTCTGAAGGATTTCTAGCAGAGAGTGAATTAGCATGAATATAAAGTAAATAAGGTTGAGGTTGGCCAAAAGTTGAGAGCAAAGGGATGGGGGCAAGGAGACCAGTTTAGAGGATTTTACAGAGGTCAAGGAGGAGGTTAACAAAGGGACTGCACTGGCATGGCGGCAGTGGGATAAATAGAAAGGCATGGATGTGAAAAACATGCTGAAGGTAGAGGTTAGAAGATCCATCAACTGATTGACGAGGTAGGGTGGATTGGTGGGAGGGTCAAGCAAGATAATGCTTAAAGTGCTTTGCAAAATGCATAGCATAGAGTGAGTGCTCAGTAAATGTTGTGCTTCTTATGGTTTTATGATGTTTCTTTTTTTAAATTGAATTATTGTTGATTTACAATGTTGTGTTAGTTTCTGGTGTACAGCATGGTGATTCAGTTATAAATTTATATATATATTCTTTTTTTATATTCTAAGATATGCTTTTATAAAACATAATGGGAACATCATTCTAAGTCACTAAATGGTCCTGCATGACATCATTTTAATGAGGAACTGGATGAAGTGTCTTGGCTAATCTCTAACGCCAACTCTTTCACTCTGACCACCTGCACTAGACCCGTCCCTTTTTCTCACCTTCTCAATGTACGTCAGCAAGTCTTCCCTCTCTCTGGAGGCATCCATGCTTCCCGTTTACTGAATCATTCCTATCAATCATCAAATATGCTGTTATTTCTACCTTAAAAAATAGAAAAAAGCAGCTCAACTTCTCCTGAGTGTCACTTCCCCCTCCAGCGGCCACCCTGTCTTACTGCCCCCCTTTATAGCAGAAGCCACTGAATTCTTGGAATGTCTATAATCACTGTCTCTAAATCCACTCTTGCTTCTCTCTTGAATCCACTCCAAGCCAACTGTCATCTGCACAACTCTACCAAAAAAGCTCTTGCTCAGTCAGTGGTAATTTCTCATTCTCAATCGCATTTCATCCCCCCGCGTTTGGTAAAGCAATTATCACTCTCACCAGCTAGGAATGCTTTCTTCTCTTGGCTTTCAGGGCACCAACTCTTCTGGGTGGCTTATTTTTTTAAGGTCCTGGTAGTCCCTTCTCTGTCCCCTTGATTGATTTCTGATTTTTCCCCTTATGTCCTTGAGTTCTAAATCTGGCAGTTTCTCAGGGCTGTCACTGAACATCTATTATCCATCTGTCTGTCTGTCTATCTATCATCTCTATCTATCTATCTATCTATCTATCTATCTATCTATCTATCTATCTATCTATCATCTCTCTCCTTTTCTTTCCAGCCTCTTCTATTGTAATTCCTTTGATGACCTCGTGCAGCACCATGGTTTTAAACACCATCTAGAGGGAGGGTATAGCTCAGCGGTAGAGTGCATGCTTAGCATACATAAGGTCCTGGGTTCACTACTCAGTACCTCCATTAAAAAATTAATAAGAAACAAACAACAAACAAACCAACCTAATTAACTCCCTCCTGCCCACCCACCCACCAAAAAGATAGCTTAAACAAACAAACAAACACCATCTGGACATCAGTGACTCCCAAATACATAGTTCTAATCCAGACTTCATCCCTGAACTCCAGACTTGTACACACATCTGCATACATGACCTCTTTATATACCTACTTGATTGGAAGCTCAGATTTACCATATCCAAAACATCTGATTTATCTCCATCACCATCAATAGTGTGCCTCTCAG